CACTGGACACGCTGTTCTCAAAGCAGGGCACAGCTTTTGTTTCGTTGATAGGTAGAATTTTCCCTTATGACTGCTCCATGTTGAACTGTCATGCTTTATGCTTTTAGGCTGCAAAATCGGAACTGCTGTTTGCTTGGTATTGTTCTGTCTCCACTGTGAACTTCACGCTCTGTTATGTGAGGCTGAGGTACAACCCAGGCTCTAATCTGGGTGTGCATTTAGCTATGCCTGCAGTTTCTGGGCAAGTCAACTCAAAATGCCTTTCCAAGAACCTCAGGGCAGCACTAGAACACATTTCCAGATGCGGTAAAGTACTGAATGAGATACCTCCTTTTCACTTTACATTGCCAAGAAACCTTGCCCCAGCATGATCCACTTACTCATGCCAACATTTTCAATGTGGTAAAGATCAGGTTTAGGTATTTGAGCTTTGGTTCCACTCTGTGTCCACAAAAGCATCATTCTTCCCGTCTGACTCCTTTGATGCCCACATTGCTGTATCTGAATTCCTCTCTCCATAATCTTTTAAGTGCTGCTTAAAGCATCGTGTCTACTTATGCAAATATCCAAGGAGGTGAAACGGAACATGAAGTGAAAATTACAAGTGTAGTCTTTTCCAGGAATTCATGTTTTCATTGAAACACTAAGTAATAGTGGAGTGCCTTTAACTGTGGTTATACAAGGCGTGCTTGAGAAGCACCAGCCACCCAGGCAGTTTAAACATGAACTTTCTAAGCAGTCACATATCAAATTTAATTAAACAACCTTTTCCTGCGTCACTTTTCAGTCTAGCAACTATTTTACTCCCCCAGGTTTCAGCTTCTAGAACAAAGTAAGTCTGTAAGGCAGAAAACAGGTATTGCAAATAATCGTACTTGCAAATGTCTCTTCTGCCTTTTGACACAAAGAGCTCTCAATTCATGGAATTCCACTGAGGGCTTATTATCTGCGCTCCCAACACATAATAATGGGAACCAAGACCTGTTGGGAGCCCTGTTGCCTAATGCACAGTAGAATATTGCAAGTGCACACTATGCCTGGGGCACTGGGGACGTGTGAATTAGTAAAAGAAACACTACTGGAAAGGGAAATCTTGGGAAAATGGAATCTTGCCATTTTGGATGGCGGAGGAGGGAGACATGGTTGTTTCCATGGCAACAAGTGGGAGGCTGAATTGGCTGGGAGCAGGAAATAGGGAAATACACTTTTCAAAAGCAGCAGTGCACATAAATGGATACTTGAATCTGAACTCACGCTGCTGTCAGTCAGTGGTAGATCTAAAGTCAGTGGACTTGCACTGCTTAAACGTAGAATCTGCCTCAAAAGATATAGCAGAATTCCTCAATCTCTCTTTTGAGATGAAATGAATGGGAAAGTGAAGAAAAAGAAGGATTTTAGCCTTGACTGCATAAACACTCGTCAGCACGAGAGCAGAGAGCTGGTTTTCCCAGAAGGTTCACAACTACCATTGCAATGTGTTACAGCCAGAACCATTTAAAAATACTGCACTTTAGAGAAAATGTTGGGGTTTTTTATCTCTCCATTTTTGAAGTTACATAGATGCTGTTATTCAGTATACTTTGTATGTTACATACGTCAGCACAGCTTTCCCTCCAGAGTATAGCACTGTGGGACTGAGGCAGTTTGCTAGTGAGCTTTCAAATGTGTACAAATATGCTGAGAAATATTGGTCTTGAAAACAACTGCCTGTGTACTTGTACTGTGTACTTGCCATTCTCATGCAGCCAACCATTGAATAGCTACTCATTAATCTGCCTGGACACTATTCTTTTGTGCTAAAGTACAGGTCTCTAGTATGATGGCATATATGGGTTCAGAACCAAGCCAGCGAGTCCCATGGCTGTTATCAGTGTTGCCAGTGCAGCAGCAGCAGTGTGCTCTTATCTGCGTAAGTAGTTGCAAAATCATCCAGAGAACAGACATTTCTATTGGATCCCATTTCCCAGCCAGTACCTTACACCAGAACTCTTAGGATTCCTTAGTGATAAACTTCCAAGCTGTCACAAAGAGATTATGCTGCACAAGAATCGGTAAAATGGATGAATTTTAAGACCACAAAATCTCATCCAAGAGTTTCTCTCTTTGCAGAGAGGTTACATTTCAATGCTACTGCCAGGTTGTGCTCTGAGTGGGAACTCTGTGGTTGTCTGGATTTTGTGGAGTGAGACCTCATCAGTCCCAATCAGAAACTCCACAGGGATATCCCTAGGGCTTTGAGTCTTTGGCCTTTACCAGTACCCGGGTTTACTTTTTGTTTTTTTGGACACTTACTTGCTTTCCCTGGTGTAAATATTTTTCTGCATGCATCCACCACCTGAGCTTGTTTGCATGATCATGTTCTGTTCTGGTGGATGAGTTAAAAGCTGAGTTCTGCCAATGCACATATGTGCTGGAAGTTGTATGGGAAATCGCTTCCAATCTGTTTTGCCATTCCTGCCTATTCCAGCAATCTCTGCACCGTCTGTTCCCTGAGATGTGCTGAATCTTCCACATTCCGGGAGGAAGTTGCTAAATGAAAGCCTGTGTTCCACTGCTTGGAACAAAGATGGCTTTTAGCCATCCTCTAGAAATCACCAATGAGACTAATGGCCTGTACCAAAGACTGCTCCATAGGGTGACAGCAGACACTATCGAGGCTTCCTATACCTATAGAGAGCTTCCTTTACCTATAGAGAGTACATTTTCCAGTTTTTAGTAATGACCAACCCTTTTCCAGTAGAGCAGTTTCCTTTTTAAGTCCTTGTACTGACACTTGACTTTAGGTATGCCTCCTTTAAAATAAATATTTAGGCTCCTTATTAAGCAAGAGAAATAGTAAATGGAAAGGATAAAGCCTGTAGTTACGCTACTTGAAGCTGCGATTCCATTAGACGTTTCACACTAAGAGAAGTCAGACTGTATTGAAGAGAGATGTGACCTTCTAGGCAGCTCAGTAATATGAGGTAGGCTGGATATGTCACTGAATGTGATGGCTGAACTTGATTTTAGGGATGCACTGGGGTGAAAACCATTTTTTGTATATTTTAGAACCATAAAATTAAGCTCCTGACCTATGAAGACATTTCATGAGCAATTGATTGGCCCAAATACTGGCATTAACAATAGTGGAGTGCACCTTGAAATATTTCCCTGACATGAACACAGAAAGCTTGCAAGGTCAAGATGGTCAAGGCCATGGTCAAGGTCTGTGGCAATTTCCTTCCTAAGACAATAGGTATTAACGTGGCACATCTATGATTTACTCTGCCTGTACTGCCTTGGAACATAATGTAAACTGTAAAATGACATTCTCTTCTTGTATGGGATACACAGGGGATTTTTTGACAGGAACTGTCATCTGCTCTGTCTTGGGCAGTCACTGGCATGATGTGCTGTTCTCCTTTGGGTATTAAGTGCTACCATGCTACAGAGAACAAACAGCAGTCACTGAGACTGGAGGAAGGTGTTTACTCTATCTCCAGTGCTGCAGGAGCATCAGGAAGTGCACCAAAATCTTGTCTGTGTTCACTCAGCAGCTCATTTCTTAGCTGAGGGCAAGTGTGCCTATGGCAGTGGTGTTTTCCTCCATAAACTCTGGCCTATTTGCTTTGATCCATATGCATACTTCTCATTCCCTGTCCCCTGAGGTAAAGTTTAATCAAATGCACACACATGAATGGAGCTAGTCTAAATATCAATAAATGTTTCTTTCAGGAGAGGCTTGGGATATTTAATATTTAATAAGCCTCAAAAATGAACCTTTATTCATGTTTCTCAATTTGATTGCAAGTGTTTTGGCGGTGAGCAGTGTTTGCTGTCCCAGTGTGGGCAGGCACAGCGCAGATTATTTAACAATCCACTTTGTCTCATCTAAAATATTCATGTTTGCAGATATCCAAATGTAGCTCTCAAAAAAAACAAACCCCACACATAAAACCCAAATGGTGCAGTCTGAGCCTCATAGAACCTTAAATTTTTGCTCTAGGCTGCATGCCACAGTAATGCTGTTTCTCTCTTAGCTCTACCCTGTTGCCCTGGTTACTGATCAAAACCAGTCCATCCCTGCTGTCCCTGCTGCTGGCCTTGAGCAAACACCTC